CTAGAAACCAAATCGGTGGTGTTTGTGATATTCAGCATCTTGCCTCGTTAGTCAATATACCTGATGGGAGTTTTCCGGATGTTCTCCCATACGATACACAAATGCGGGGTAGTTCTCCTTAAAAGTTCCCCGGGAAGGCACTGCTCTCCTTCTTCAGCGACTCGGGGTCAAGTCAAACTTCTACCTACTTGTGCTCCATAACAACAGAAGCTGTCATCTTTCCTTCCATCTATGAATAGACTCATTGGGTGTCCATCCCGTTCTGCCGGACACCAAGGATTAGTCACAGCAGAAAGCATATAACGTTTAAAGGTGTCGCCATATTGAAATATAAAGCAGATTATTATTCTCAAATGCAAGTATAATATTGTGTTATAATACTAATCTGCATTAGGCTAATTATTTATATTGAAGTAGAAAACTTTTTGCCGAAAATTCATCACAGACCATGTTTTTTTTTTTTTTTTTTTAATTTTTATTTTGTATGTACTGAAATTTTAGATTTTAATTTTCAATCAAATATTTATTTATCACTTTGAAAAATAAGATGATTAGAATCTTTAAAAGGATTTTTGTAAATTTATTCAATGTGGTTGTATGCTACTCGTATCAGTTGAATGGTTTCTTTGTGATGTGTTTAATAGATCACCGCCATCTATCTAAATACATATGGGATGGATACAGAGTTGATTATAACAGATTTTTTCTAGTTTGGATAGATTTCGGTCAAAAAAATATTACCTCTGTAAATTTCATTTGTGTATTATCTCCTACGTGCGTGGCTTTTCATTTCATGGTTATTACAAAATGTTAACATCTAGCAACGTTTTTTTTTTTTCAAAAGTGTTTACTAATTACAAAAATTTAACCCTCGAGTCAAATTATTATTTTGTTGTTGTTGTCGTTTACTGAATATTTTTTTCATTTAAAGGAATTTAGGAAACATAATTATTTTTTTAAGGGTCTGATGTCCGAGTGACTTAGTGCTTTGGCGCTCGGTACCACAGTAAAGATACAAATTCCTGCTTATTGCGTTCAAAACAAATAAAAAAAGATTACTTTAACTACAAAATTCAGAATGATTAATTTAAAAGGAATTTATTTTAATTTAAAAAAAGAATTCTTCTTTAATGGCGCGACATCCCTATGGTGGGCCAAGGCCATCTACCTACTAGGAGATTTCGACACAGGGAATGTTTTCTTTTTACTGGGTAGAGTTTTCAGTCCTACATCCAACAGTCATATTAGACTGGGACCTACGGTTTAAAGTGGATTCCGAACCACTACAAAGTTTGAGTGGTTCGGAATCGCAAAAAAGTTCAGTGGTTCGATTCAATCGACGGGATTCGACCCGACGCCTGTGGCACCGAGCATTAATTACTCAGCCATCAGGCTCCATTTCATATGTTGCATAATAATAAAACAAAGTTTTTTAAGGCAATATGGAAAAGATAAAAAAAAAGTAAAGATATCGATTCTGTATTACAATAGACACCATATAAATACGTACTTGGTTGGGTTTGTCGCTCCATGGATTTCGTCGCATTCGGTCGCTTTTTTTTTTGTACAGTTTAGGTTAATTAGACCGGGATCTACAGTTTAATGTGGATTTCGAACCACTAACAAACATCGATGGCAACGCCAGGATTCGAACTTGAAGCCTGTGGTATCAAAGGCCAGAGCGCTGGCTAATTACTTATTACTGAATTTAAAGAACTATATATTAATAGAATTTGATTTTCGAAAATTTTTAAGAATAACGTTTATAATTTCATAATTAATTAATTTATTTTATAATTTCATAATTAATTAATTTATTTCATAATTTCATAATTAATTTAAATTATTTCATAACTTCATAATTAATTTAATTTCAAAATTTCATAATTCATTAATTTATTTCAGAATTTTATTTATTCATTTACAATTTAATGCCTTAAATAAATGTCTAATAAAAACAAAACTCGAGACTATCCTTAAGCGCGTATCCTATCACTAATAAATTCTTCACATCCTTTTCCTTAAGACTTTATTACAACTGTCAATTTTTAGCAATTGTTTTGCAACATCTTCCTTTCAATGTCGACGCATATCTCTGTAGGGTATCACTTAATTCAAATAAGTAATAGACAACTTAATCCTTCGTACCTACCCTAGTTGACCTCTTCGCAATTCCTTGGAAATTTAATTATTGTGTCTGGGCGAGACTCATTCACTTCGTTAGCCATAATTAAGTTCCGGAATCTGATTTGTCAAGCAGAGTAGCTAATCAAGGCTAAGGACGATTTACCAGCTGCTCTGCCTTGTCACTGATTGAAGGCAAAAGCGGAATCAGCCAGTTAAGCGAATTCTTCCCTAAGGATGAAGACAAGGTCTGTAGAGAAAGTATTCGCTCGCGCGATTTGTTGTATTTCCAGCAAAGAGTTTTATTTTCGGAAGGAAGCAGATGAATAATCAGCAGGAAGTCAACATTGTCGCTTTGACATCCGGGTGAAATATCAAAAACGAAACTTAAATGATCAGGGCAAGGTACTTGGTGGGAATGTTTCTCAAAAGTTTCAGCTGCTCATTTAGCACGTGGTGAATCCTTCATTGTCTTTAAACATTGTTTTCTAGAAGACACAATTAATTCATAGTGTACTGACCTCGATTCACTTTGATTGTTCAGAGTATTTATAGTATTTACAAAGGTAGAAAGGTAAGAAGAAATAAACACTCGAAAGGTTTGCCTGGCTGAAGTATTTCGTCTTTTTTTTTTTTTTTTTTTATAAAAGTGAATAATTGTACCTATATTGGATACAAATAGTTCTTTTTATTTATTCTGTAAAGAGAAAAGCATCAATTTTGATTTTGATTGTACCATGCTAAAGCTTCGTCGTGGTCTTCAGATGACAATTGGATGAGAATCTCGAAGATAGAGGGATTGGATTTTTATTGGATTTTGGATTTGGATTGGATTTTTGTTGTTTTTAATCAGCAGAAAGTTAAAATTGTCGCTTTAACATCTGGGTTGAGAAATCAAAAACGAAACTTAAATGATCAGGGCAAGGTACTTGGTGGGAATGTTTCTCAAAAGTTTCGACTACTCATTTAGACTTCACTTTTTCGACTTCACTTTTTCGACTTCACTTTCATTGTCTTTAAACACTGTTCTTTTGAAGACACAATTAATTCATAGTATACTGACCTCGATTCAGAGTATTTATAGTATTTGTTCAGAGTATTTATAGAATTTAAAAAGGTACAAAGGTAAGAAGAAGTAAACACTCAAAATGTTTGGCTGACTCAAGTATTTTGTCTTTTGTTTTATATAAAAGTGAATAATTGTACTTATATTGGATACGAATAGTTCTTTTTATTTGTTCCATAAAGAAAAAAGGATCAATTTTGATTTTGATTTTGATTGCACCGTGCTAAATCTTCGTAATGGTCTTCAGATTCGATGACAATCTCGAAAATGGAGGGATAGGATTTTTGTTATAAGAATAATGAAAATTGCACTTAGAATTTTTCTGATCCAGATTTGAAGGTGGAAAAAAAAAACAAGTAACTGATATGGTAAAAACATAATATTTAAGTGTTACAGACATTGATTCGTAGAATTTAAAGTAGCTAGCAATGAGTAAGAATTGTGGAAAAATACCACTTAATTTCGTACATAAATAATAATACAAATTAATTAAAATACTAATAAAATACTACTTAATTTCGTAAAAGATGATATTCTATATATTCAATGTATTCTTCACTTTTAATGCAAAACTCTTATCAAAATATATAAAAGTTTGAAAATGTATACAAAAGTAAGAATCCTTTTACAAAAAGAAAAAAAAATCAGATTTTCTGAGAAATTTGATATTGTATTATAAATGCTAGTTTTTAAATAACCAAGATTATACATTTATAGTTTTTTTATGTTTATGTGATTTATTAAATCTTTTTCTGTCTATGTAACAGACAAAACAGGCCTTTAAATTAAATTAAGAAAAACAGCACTAAAATAAATTAAGGTAAATAAATAATCGAGTGATGATTTTTTTAACGTTTTTTTTAGTTCCTTCTACAAAAAAAAAAAAAAGCGATTCAAATCATACTTTCTGACAAATTTAATACTGTATTATAAATGCGATTTTTTAAACAACCAAGATTATATATTTACAGTTGTGTTTATGTGATTTATTAAATCTTTTTCCATGTAACAGACAAAATAATTTCCTTTAAATCCTAACAGCACTATAATAAATTAAGGAAAGTAAATAATTAAGTGATGATTTTTTTAACGTTTTTTTTTTAGTTCCTTCTACAAAAAAAGCCATTACAATCATACTTTCTGACAAATTTGATATTGTATTATAAATGCGAGCTTTTAAAGAACCAAGATTATATGTTTACAGTTGTGTTTATGTGATTTATTAAATTTTTTCTGACAAATTAAATCTTAAAATTTTTTCTGATTTTTTCTGGCTTTTAAATTAAATTAAGGAAAACAGCACTAAAATAAATTATGGAAAAGAAATAATCGAGTGATGATTTTTTTGTAATGTTTTTTTGAGTTCCGTCTACAAAAAAAAAGCAATTAAAATCCTACTCTGTGACAAATTTAATATTATATTATAAATGCGAGTTTTTAAAGAACCAAGAAAAGTTACAGTTAAGTTTATGTGAATTATTAAATCTTTTTCCATGTGACAAACAAACAAAAAGTCCTTAAAATTCTGTTGTTGTTGTTGTTGTTTCTTATCCCACTTGGCTGGCCAAGCCAACAAGCCCATATGGACTCATGATTGAAGGGGAAGGAAGCAGCTTCTGTTGTGATGGAGCACCCGTAGGTAGAAGCCTGACTTTTGCTCCGTGACGCTCTTACAGTCATAGAAGACCGGGACCTACAGCTTAAAGTGGATTCCGAACCACTACAAACATCCATGGCACCGCCGGGATTCGAACCCGAAACCTGTGGCACCGAGCGCTAGACACTCGGCCATTCAGGTCCCAAATTTGCCAACGGCACGCAGTGTTCCCAGGTGGTCACCCACCCAAGTACTGACCGCGCCCAATGATGCTTAACTTCAGTGATCTAACGAGAACCGGTATATTCAGCATGGTACGGCCGTTGGCGGTTTAAAATTCTAACAGCACTAAAATAAATTAAAGAAAAAGAATAAATAATTGAATGACGAAAATCAGAAAACATTTTACAAATACGCATTTATAATTTAAAAAATTCATTTTTGTTTCGAATTGAGTTATCCTCGTCATATTTCAAACAACTATTTGCCCTTTTATGTGGAATCCCATTCCATTGGCATCTTGGATTAATAGATCAATTCTTACTAGCTCCGCCTTTCCAGTAGTAGATCAATTCTCAGTCTTCACTGCTTGTCACGAAATAGAAGATCAATACCAAGCAATGTTGCTAGTGGAGGAACTCATTCTTTTCCTTGTTGCAATTATATCGTAAGAAATAACTGGATTCGTCAATCACGTCAAAGGAAATAAAAGATCAAAGAATGACAGGTATTTCTGAGGATGTATTAATTCATTTCTTTCCTCATATCTCATGATATAAATAGTTAATTTTGTGTGGTTTGTTTGTGTAGTTTGCTATTTAATTTACCCGTACCTGATTTAATAAAATTTTCGAACTTTTTAAGCATGTACAATTCAAAGAGTAAAAGAGTTCTTACTTTAAAATTTGTTCAACACTTCTTGCATATTATGTAAATTCTTTCAATTATTACTTTCCTTGATAGAGATACATTGTATGAGGATTATGTAATAAAAATAAAATGGGCACTTTCCATATTCTGCATAGAAGTTCTCTTAAAAGTATACCTTTTAAAAAATCACTTTTGAAAAACATGTGAAATTAATGAAAATTGATTTATAAAAGACAATAATAAAAAAATTGATTTTAGTAAGGACAAATAATTGAAAGATAATCATCATTATGTACTTCATTCTTTCAATTATTATTACTTTTCTTTATAAAGTAAAAATTGAATAATAATATTAATAATAAAATGATTCTCTCATTTTATTTTTATTGTATTTTATTGTAATGAATATACAATAAAAATAAAATGTATACTTCCCATATTATGCATAAAAATGCTCTTTAAAAAAGAACTTTTAAAATATGCATTTTAAAAATCACTTTTTAAAAACATGTTAAATTAATGAAAACCACCGCCAAGACTCGAACCCGAAGTCTGTGGCGAAGTTCGCCAAAAGGTTAAATGTATAATAAGAAATATTTTATTTTGATTTATAATTGAATAGTAGCAAAGTTAAAACACTGCTGCCTTACAAATAAGTTTCTGTGAAAGAAGAAAGGGATTTTTATGAAGTCAATCAGAGATTAATTTAATAAATTTTGAATTTATAATTATAGTTTTTGTTCATCAAAAAGTTCCGCTTTAGTTTTTTTTAATTTTTCATTTACCTAAGACGATTTTATTTTTCGGCCTGATCTAATTGTCGAGTGACTAGTGCTCTGGCACTTGGTGCCACAGGTTTCGGGTTGGAGTTCCAAAAATGTTTGTAGTGCTTCGGAATTCACTTTAAACCGTAGGGCTGACAACCCTATCCCGTAAAAAGTCAGCATCACGGAGCCAGGCCAGACTTCTACCTACGGGGGCTCCATCGCAACAGAAGCTGCCTCCTTCTGAGACCACATGGGTTTTTGTATGTTGCTTTTTTTACGGGGTATGGCTAGCAACCCTACGCCGTAAAAAGAAAACATTTCCTGTCTCGAAATCTGTTAGTAGACAAATGGCCTTGGACCATCATGGGGCTGTTGTGCCAATGAAGAAGTTTTTTAAGCAAATGGGTCACGCTATGCAGTTTGAGAATCACTGTGTTAAATGATATTTTAATAATATCTATACACAAAAAAATATTTAAGCAACTCCTTTTGTAAGCATCTAATGATATATAGCACATGCATCAATGTACTCGTGTGTTGTTTTTTGCTTTTTGAACTGAAAGAGCAGCAGAACTAAAAGCTCTGTTATATTATAGTCAATGGTTGGAAAATTGCTTTTCAGAGAAAATGATCAATCGTACATCAACACTCAAATGCAGTAATTAGAGAGCAATGAATACCGATCGTTCGATTGCTTCTCTAAATAGCTGTAGTGAAAAGAAACTCTACTCCATGTTCATTCAACCAGAGAACTGCTTCTCGAAGAAAGAGCTCTTTCTATGGCAGTGTTCCACATCCGTACGCATTATGGTTGTAGGGGGAAAACACGTGTTGAACCAGTAATTGAAGAGCAAACATTTGTTTTAACAATGAATAATACCATAAATTATAGCGTATAATCATCTCAATTGACTGCATTGAGTCTGCGCGATAAACGGCCAGACGATTAGATAATGTAAATCGTTTACATTGAGAGTTGTTGCATCTACAAACAAGAACTCTTTAAAAGGGTGCATTATGATCTTGAAAGGTCTTTAAAAATTTTGCTTTGATATTAGAGAGTTTTTGCATAACGTTTTTTTATCTTCCGATATTTTTTTCTTCCTAGTGTGCATGCTCATAGGAATAGCCAGTAGTGCAATATTACAGATATGTATGTGCAATAGGTACAATGTTTCCTATGAGCATGCGCGCTATGAAGAAAAATATCGGACGATAAAAAAACGTTATGCAAAAACTCACTATTATTTATTGAATTATTTGTTAAAGAGCTTTAAAAGAAATATTTACTTTTAAGTCACGAATTACATGAAATTTTGATGCTTAACGGCTAGGGAAAAACTATAGTATAAAAGTTGTGACTAGCTATGCATGTTTATGTTTAAGAATTGTTGATTTGTGAATAAAACGAGGTTTGGTTTAGTTTGTCGCTCTATGGTCAGTTTTTTTTATAATTTAGGCTAATTAGACAAGGACCTACTCTTTAACGTGGATTTCGAACCATTCAAACATCCATGCCACCGTCAATTGGCCATCAGGCCGCTTAAGAATTGTTGAATGAGTAATTTTCTTATGGCTATTTTACAATAAAATTCCAATTTAAAAGTTATTATTAGGGACATTAATAAGGAAATATAGACAACATCGAATAACGCTATTGTCATCTCAAAGTACCAAGTCAAGTCAACGCTATTGAAAAGAGTAGCTAATTTTTCTGTATGATATTAGCTGTTTCCAAATGGAGGATATTTTGACCTGAGGTCATGCGCAGAGAGACAGAGGTGTAGTAGTTTCAGCCTTAACCAGGAGGCACCACAGCGGGGGAGAAGAGGGAAGATGCTACTCTGACCCACAATTTGGAACAAGCATCTCTAAGAGTGTCGTTTAGGGCAATGGGATTGAACATTCGTCCTCTTTCTTCCATCCTCCTCCTCCCTCTATCCTTCTCCTTTTTACATTCTCCTCGAATCCAAAGAAAGGTCTTCCCACCTTACTGATTTATCATATCTACCTCTACATTAATTCGGCCCGACTCGTAACTCAGTCGCAAAGCGGAAAGATGGTGAACATTAGGACAGAGCTTAAATCCGCTGGCGGCTTTTTGTAGACACTTTTTCAAAAAACGAGGAACCTCGATGGCGTTGCAGCCCGATGGCCAATTCGCTAGCGCTCTGGGCGTTGGTACTATAGGCTTCAGCTTCTGGCGGTGGCATGGGTGTTTGTGAGTGGTTCGGAATCCAGGTTAAACTGTAGTTCCGGTCTAATTAGCCTAAAGTGTGCACAAAATGACCGTAGAGCAACAAACCAAACCAAACCTCAATGGCGTTTGTAATGTTCAGTCTCTTGTCTCGTTAGCCAGACCCATACGATACGCTAATGTGGGGTAGTTCCCCCTAAAACGTCCTCCCGGAAAGCACTGCCCTCCTTTTTCAGCGTCACGGAGTCAAGTCAGACTTATATCTACGGGTGTTCCATCACAACAGAAGCTGCCCCTCCCGTCCCTCCTTCCATGAGACCACAGTTTTTAGACTTGGTCTGAATGTTGCTGTCTACCAAGTGGGAAAAACAAACAAGAAACAAACAAAACAAACATTAATTCAGTTCGGCAACGTTTCTTAGGTTCGATCCAAATACTTATCCACCAGGCCATTCCTATCCTTTTTTTCTAATATTTATTTCTGCTTATGGTCAATTGCTCAAAAACTGAATCATAACACTATTATTACATAGTACACCGTACATTTGAGTTTTAAATTCTATTTCAAAATATTTTTTGTAAAATTTTCACGTCTTTAGCATTTGGTTCTGTATTTCATAACATTTCCAAAAATAAAGGATATATAAGTATTAAGTAATTCTAAAAACCTTTGTCTGTGAATGAGTTTTGTCATATTTTTTTCTTCTCTCTCTGTTATATAGAAGCAAAATGCTTAGAAATCGGTTTATTATAAGATGAAATAATTATATTCAGCATTAAAAAAATATTTGATTGCGTATTAAATATAGGAATTTCTATTGCGATGTAAATATAGTTAATGATGTAGTATATGTTGATATGTTTAATGGAAAGTTAAGTACTTCTTTCCTTTTCAAACGATAACACAAATATACACCAAACGCGACAATCTTAATATTCATAATATTCATTTAACTTTCCAAACATCTATTTAAAATAAATCGGAATTTAAATCACTAAATGTAAAAAAATGCTTATTTCAAAAAAAATAAAGACCAGAATGCCAAAATTTATATTGTATCATTTATTTAATTTAATATGAATATCATATCTATGAACTTATATGTTTTCGTAGGTTACTTTAATGTAAATAAAAATACCAAAATTTTCAAAGTGTGCCGAATATTATATTTATATTTATTTATATAAGTAAATTATATTATTTATTATCCTTTATAAATTATATTTTCATATCCTTTTCATCCCTTTTTTTTCATTATATTTAGAGTAAATATTTGAAACTTTTTTTCTTATTAAATATTTGAATGGTATTAAATATAGGAATTTCTATTGTGATGTAAACAAAATTAATGATGTAGTATATGTTGACATATTTAATGTAAAATGTAAGTGCTTCTTTCTCTCTTTCTTCAACGCTAATACAAACATAACATACACCAAACACGACAATCTTAATATTCGCAATTTTCATTTAATTTTCCAAACATTTAT